TTTTTGATATTTATTATTAAGATTATTATCAATATTTATCTTTTAGGTTAGATGTTAATAATTAATCACTATTTATCCACATCGATACAAATCGACGTCTGTGATTATTATCGATTTATGTCACGTGATCTTTTCATCGGCATATATCCCCTGAAAAATTTTCCTGATGTAGATACTGAACCGGAAAGTGAGGAGGAAAAAGAAATAAATCACGATGGCTAATGTGGAGTAGGGAAAGGAGCTCTCATTTTATGGGTTAGGGCTCGAGATGCTCCTCCCTCTTTGTCCTTACTCCACGAATGATTCTATTTCAAAGAAATGAGCTACGCTCTACAAGGCTGGCCTTTATTGCAGAGCAATGATGGTGCAAAGCGTCGAATCTCCGATTCCCCTTTGAGTCTACATTGTAGCGTAAAAAAATAACGTTGAAATATATAATTATTATCAATAAAGTTATCAATTATTTGTTATTTTATTTTGTGTAATTAATTGAGATCGTGGTTGTAATTGTTTGGATGAGTTGGCGAATCATGAGAGTTACGAGGTTTGTTTGACACACTTTCCGGCAAACTTTGTACAGCAATTATAACTTTCTTTTGATCAATGCGAAAAGAACAGTTAAGAAATAGTGATCATTTTTTCCTAGACAGCTCCACTCGCCCCATATTCCTAAACGAGTATGTACTTCTTTGCATACAGGGCATTTAGCTTCTGAATCGGTATATTTAAATACATTTCGATGCCATGCATTAGAATTGGTATATATCAAGAAAGGGGAGCGTTTATGTATTGCTTCATGAATTGTGCTTTTTTCTTCCGGAAACTTAGAAATTTTGATAATACAGTCTCGTGAGATACAATTATCGTGATAAATGTGATCGGATTTTCACAGGTAACACATACGTAAAAAGTCACATGTCTAAAAATAAATTAGAAGGTCATGGAAATTCTGCATGCATGATGTAATCGTGTAACCCGTTAATTGTTGCCACAAATTCCAAATCCGATTGTCCAACTCATGACATACGTATTTTCTTTGTGAAAAGTTTTTTTGTTACATAGTAAATACCCATGGGCCTGCATCGCTCCCAGTTTCACATTCCCTAAATCTACTACTCACATACCTAAATAAGACCAGAAATGAGTGGAGGGACACGTTTTAAAAGGATAGTATACTTACGTTGTAGTTGTTTGCCACTTCTTTTTTACTTGCGTTATCGATATATTAACATTAACAATTGTCATGTCTTCCTCAACATTCTCATCGGCTGAAAACTTTGCTCCATTATGGAACTTTTTAAGAACCAGTTCCCTAGATAAAATTACCACTTCTAATGTAATTACGCAACTATGGAATTGCTTCAACAAGAAGATTCCGACAGCATCATGAAAATCCTAAAAGAGACGGAAAGTGAAATCATTGATAAAGAACGTAAACAGCATCTTTAAATCGTTGCAAAATGTTGGCCAGGTAATTTATACCACTTTAATCTTTATATAATAGCAAATAAAATAATGAATATGACGTCTAGACATTAATAAATATAATGCGATTGAAAAAGCGACATATTGTCAGCGAGAATCTCTTTCATTATATTTATTATGATGATTTATGACACTAATGCCGGCTATTTCTGATTAGGATGGGTATTTATGTAAAAAAATGATGATGTTTCTCTGAATTTTATTAACCCATTCTTATTTTTATAGATACGATTTATTAGGAACGAACTGTTATCATTAAAAGATATGGGATTCTTACGAGGAAAATTCGAAGAAGGAGTAAATTGGAAAGCTTTAGCCTTAAATAGTATAGCGATTTTGAAAGATAAAATCAAGGTAATCAATTATTTACTACTTGAATTTTTTCGTAAAACTAACTCTCCTTTGATTCATTAGAAGAAAGATACACCACCACACGAACATATTTTTACAAAAATAAGCAATATAGATGTCGATAAATTATCAAACGACGACCCGTTATGTATTGGAGTAATTGATCTTAGCTCAGATAAATATAATATTCCGGAGAGTGATTACGAATCTCTCGTTGTACGTATATAATATTTTTATTTCTCTTTACGAAGTAGATGTTATTGGTTCTGAGATCGGAGTAACTGATAAGACTTTTGTATGGGGGTCTTGTATTGGTGGAATTGGCACAGCTAAAGATAATTACGTATTATATATTAATCTTAATAGGGTGAGAAGGCTAATATAAGAAATTTGAGCACTGATGTCGTGGTAAAGAATATATGCAATGATTTTATATCAAAGAGGAATGACGTTCAAAAATTGTGGAAATTTGTATTACCTTCGAGGGGCGTAGTGATGCACGATCAATGGGTTGAGGACGATCACATTAAGGAACGCATAGCAAGCGGAATTACCGATATTCTTTTGCAAGAAATTAAGTTGAATGCACTCTGAAGAGTTTCCAGAGGTTCGGAAAACACACTAGTGGAAATTATCGCTCGTTTGATAGATATGGCTACGCATCACTTACCTGTGGATTATGAGGTCGAAGTTACCAGGGCCGAACGTCAAAGCACAGCTAGTAAACATCGCAAAGCTCAGCAAAAAAGTGGATCAAGAGGGGATAAACCCGATCTTATGTTCCGTGCTCACCTTCGTCAAAAATGGGAAGAAATTGTGTTCTTCGAAAGTGGAAAGTGGGATGCCAATGAAAATAAGATTTGCCACGACCATAATAAATTAGTGCAACTCTGTTTGGATGGATCTAAAGAGCTTTTGAGAAGATGTTCAAAAGAAACCTTTTACCAAAGTTATATAGGATTTGGTGTTAATATTGCAGGTAAGTATATTGAGATTCATGGATTGATAAGGAAAAAGGGGTGAAGTACCATCTCCCAGTCATTAAAGCGAAAATACCTTTGGGTAAAGAATCGGTTGAGGAAGTAGAAGAGTTTGTTCACGCCCTATTGACTTTGCGAGTGAGTATTCTTTCAACTATTTTATATGATTTTCTGCATATTCGTCGTATTATGATACTTACACAAAATGATCTATGATCTCAGAATGGGGTTATTGTGAATTTACAGAGTATTGTGAACAGTTTTCAAAAAAGATCAAGAAAAACAAGTGATATAAGCCCCCCTCCACGTGAAGTTGGTAGATTAAACAAGAAAAAGAGCTCAAATTTCTAGAATTCTATCCCATATTTTGTCGTATGATTTATTTTGTATCAATAAAGGTGGCCCTGGTGGCTGAATTATTATATACTTTGTGCGATATATGTGATTAAACTTTTCAGATAATCGTTTACGCATTATTTATCGGGCACATGATCAAGTGTCGAAATTAGCACGTGCTTGCTCCGCTAAATCATATGCACGATGTTTGTAGACCCGAAATAGATATAACCCTGAAATAGATCATACAATGATTATCCAGAAATAGATTCCGCCCCCGAAATAGATCATGCAATGACCATCCCAGATATAGAACGATGCATATTGATTAGTTGATTGTTATGAGTAGGATCGAATTTTTAATTCCAGACAGTTTATAAAGTTTGGCCCGCATTATGTAGTGCCGGACCGGCCAAATTTATTTCGAACTTAGTAAAATAACTGATATAAGAACTTATATATTTTATGTAGTAATCCAATTTAAAAAAAAAACATAAAAGAGTACCATATAAACTATCATTTTACATGGTGGCGTGCACCATAGTTAAAAACGGAATCCAATAGAATTTAAGAGATGAAGTGGTGAGACTCGATCGTATGATGTTTTTTGTAATCTAATAGAATTTAAGAGATGAAGTGGTGAGACTCGATCGTATGATGTCTTTGTAATACAAAGGGCTGAATTTACATTCAACGTCAAGTCACATTATCATCAGTCGCCAATTTGTCATGAATTTGATCACCCGTTATTTAGGAAACGGTAACTTTATAAATACCCTCTCTGACATGCACTTAGGTAAATATTTGTTCGGTTCCATTTGCAATAAGTCGCACTATATTTTCTAAATATCTTCTCTAGCATGCACTTTTACCGTACAGTGGTGTTCTTCTCCATCTTAGCTACATATTTTATTCCTGAAGTATCTGCACTCGCAGTAAACAACACTTCGATATTACTAGAAAAACGTGAAGTCTGCGCAAATCCAGGATGTTATGGATGGATATGGAAGGATTGCTCATATAAGGATCTTTATGCGTAAGATCTCAATTCTTGGTTAAGGAACAACTTAGAATAGTCAAAGATAATCTAAATTATGATTTTCTTTAGAACAATTAACGCCATCGATGCATCTGACTATCAAGCACTTAGTGATAATCTTGCTAGTATGTTTGCACCAGATATAGACAGGAAAATTACTTCAGAAGATCAGGTTGATAGCCTCACTGATGCATGGTAAGAAAAGAAGTGAATAATTTTAGAAAGGCTTTTTTAACACCGAGTTCTTGCTTACTATTAGGTATCATGCAAATTCTGCGATCTTCAATGACAAGGGCCAGTGTGTCAAAGAATATATGTTAACCTGGATATGCGACAAATACCAAAAAAAGTCTTCACTTGAAGCTTTAAAAAAGTTACTTGATAGGCTTCCTAGTATTCTTAAAGAGCTCATACCTAAGGAACCAGTTACAGCATGGGTGGTTAAGCAGGCATTAAGGTTAGCTATTAAGAAAGACATCTCACTCACGGAAAATTTACTTAATTCAGTGGCAGACATTGTGGGAATGAGTGATGTAGCTTTCCTTTATAATGTCGGAAATTGTTAAATCACACGCACCCCGAAGCGAACGCATAAAAACCCCTTGGGTAACTCTTGACCAACCAACCATAACTCGGCAAACTTACTAATTACTATTTCCAGATCGGTGCGAGTACTACATGATAAGATATCGCAGAAAATAATTTAAACGATAGCGAAATTGCCGAAAGAGCTAGATTTATTAGGGAAATATTTAAATTATACAAAAATTAATTCACGGGCCGTGCCATGATAGGGAATGTTCGGTGTGCTTCCCAAAAACAAGCTTAACTAGTTTATTTTTAAGTTTTGATATGGATTCAATATTTTATTTAGAGTAACAAACATTCGTAATATCCAGAACAACTTTTGTGTGATGAAAAACAATGAGATTAGTATCATTATATTGGATGTATCACTTGTAAAGTAACTTTGAACAAACGAATACAAAAACAAATGAAGCCAATGCGACCCAAAATAATTATGATTTCAAGGCCGGAAAGGGGTTTATGTTATGAACCATTCCCAATATTGGTATGCTATCTTCTATAGTCTCACAATGTGTGAGGATGATGTTGCATCTATCAATCTCTAAGCCTAGTACATCTACTAAGCCCCTGCCTATAATATTACAATTGGTACCGATATCTAATATAGTTTTAACTGGTACTTTGTTAATTTCGCAAGACAAAATTCTCATTGTGATGCTTTATTATAATAATACAGTGACTTCCATAATTATTGTACCACTTCGTTTGTAATTTTTAGATTGTAATAAATAAAAATTCAATGATCGAACGATTTGCAGATTTAATTAATATATCGTCCGAGTCTTCTTTTATAATATATTCAAATTCAAATTTCTTTTTATTTATAATTTTAAAAAAAAATTCTTTCATAACCAT